CCCGGCTCTAGTTTCGCACATATGCTAATTCCGCGGCGTTTTCAAAAGTAATGGTTTTTCAGTGTTTGGGACAGTGAATCATACCAACCAGCACTCGTCACACCCATTATAGTCTTGATGGTTTGGTTCCTTCCTGTACCACTTTACCTGCGAGAAAACCGACGCTTCTTTTTACCCAGCCTGCCTTTGTTGGCCCAAGACCCACCCACGCCATTGGGAAGGGAAGCGCGGGGCCTGCCACGTGGACAGGCTATTTTTGGTTGTGGCGTTCGACCCTCCCATTGGTCCAAGCCAAGGAAAGGGGGCAGGACTCAACTCACGGTTGCAGCCTCCTTCAGGCGGTTGATAATTCACTTCTAAATTTCTCATTTCCGTTCCTTTTTTCAAAGAACCGATGATGCTAATCCCTCCAGCTTATCAATTATTCATTCTATTTAATTATTTGTTCATGTTTTTAACGGAAAAAGCAGTATTGGTTGTTGCACACGAGGTTACTTTGATCACAATCCTTAAAGTGAAAAGAGTTACACACTTATTAATCTGCACTAATAGAATGATGATATGTAGAGTGAGAGGGTTGAAACTTCAGAAGAGCACAGTCTTATCCAGCTGTTGCCCAAATGTACTAAATAAGGGTCCTGAAACAGTTTGGGATTGTTAAAAATGCTTGTTGTAGACTGACGCTCCTTCCCTCCTCCCCTTTTGCCATCATACATTCGTCCCACTAGGACGCTCTCTACCAGAGTGCCAGAGAAAAAGCTACCACCACAGTCCATACGTTTTACTGTTTAATTATGGTCTAGTTACCTCCAGATGAGGGGCATTCACATGCCCATTTTGGTGGCATAATCACAACTATCCTTTTGTGGCTCAAAATCTGGTGTACAAATACGTACACTAGTAAATTTATAACAACGGAATAACCGTTGGATTCAGTGTTCACGTATCTTTTAATATGTTTATTCCAACACTTATTAGCCGAGCAAAAGGAAAAAAGTTAATGGCCATAAAAATGTGAAAATTTTCATCTGCCGGGATAAAAAGAACTTGGGGACTACTCCACGATTAGGGTTTCAGTGGGAACCCTTCGATAGCACAAAGATTGCCCGTGGTGAAGGGTTCTGAAGTCCGCTTTTGTTAGTCCGGCTGCATCAAGTGCCACCTTCAAATCAGCTTTTGGCTGCATGTAGAGCTGCGAAGAAATGAGATTACACAACTCCATACTGAAGAGAGTCAGTAATATGTAGTACCCGAATCATGCAGGTATATTTAGGAGCTCGAGGTTTAATTATAGGCATAGTCCTTATCACACCAATAGCATTAAGGAATGTTGTGAATGGAAAGCAAAAAAAGATCGCAAAGTAATTCGGAAAACATATGTGTAATGAAGCCGTAGAGACGAGTCATTTTCGAGTTGCGCGACGATATAACAAGAGGAGCGAGAAGAAAATTTCCATCGAGACTCACACAACAAGTGAAGATTCACCACGAAAGATTGATTGCGCAACAATCTTATACCTAAAAAGCCACTAGAAAAACTACTTCGATAATGTCAGCTACTTCCTCATTCGAGAGTAGACATCAGGTGCACTTTGGGTCCAACTCTCACTACATCCTAGAGTTTTTAATATAGCAGTATTCCTTACTTCAGGAATGGATCAGAGGAAATGTACCAATGTGAAATCCCACGGTGCTAGCTTGCCCTGTCCACATGGATCACGGGGCAAATGGATCTATGGGTTAAGAAGGGAAAAACCACGCAGGTTGAAAAGGGGAAACTTCGCTTGGTCTCACTTTTACGACTTGCATCGAGCGAAAAAAAGTGGTGGCACAGGTGTGCAAATTATTAATTAAATTATTTGCAATCGCGACAATTTCACGCAATTTTAGGCATATTTTAGCAACAGAATAGCCCACGAACCATGTACATTCAAAGGTGTGCACGAGTGAGGATCGAGTCCAACCAACCCGTCTGCGGAAATGCGCCCAAGTTAGTTCAGAACTTTCAAATCTGCAGGTTTACGACAAGACAGAATGCCGCCGTGGCGACGCTAAACACAGTAGTAAGTGGCAAGTGTGTCCCGTCGTGCTTGATTTGGTCCACACACCATTAACTACGATAGCAGGCAACAGTAGCATTTCGTGCTTGCATGCAATAGGATGCGATTGACGAAAGCATAGAGCCACTGTGGAGTATTGCGCCATATTAAAATACTTAAGTTGGGTGAAAGTTTCATAGATAAGCAGCCATACGCCTGTCAGTGACAATTCTGGCTCACAGCAGAGAAGTAATTCAGCACCGCGGACAGCCCGTGGTCGAGGTATTACCTGCCATGTGACGAAATTGCGCAAGAAATGGTTCCTTCTGTGGGGATGATGAACATATTCACCCACGAACACTTGCATTTTGGAGTGAACGAGCGCTGAGATAGGTGCACAGATGTAGCAGAAAAGCTGCCTACAATAGACACGGTTCTCACACCTTAAAATTCATCCTTTTCTTTTATAACCTCGAAACTTTGAATTAAGTCAGATGTACTTTGCATTTGTGCAGATGAAGAACATTAGCAACCTCAAATTTCGACAAATAATGACAGAATATCACGGATTTCTGTAGATCACGCCCGCAAAATTGTGTTTGACCAAGTGCATTGAGTAAATGAGGTTGCAATTTGAAAGAGAATGAGCAGCATGAGGTTTTGCTAAGCACTCTTTGTACTGAAAAAGGGAAAAAGGTAGAGTACAAGGAGCTCACCTCCCGACCAATGTGAAAAGTGCCCCAATGCACACCGACAGAGTGGGTGGCATGAATGTCACGGTGGATTTGCACAGCTTCCTGTGGGTTTACGTGCTGAGAGCGCATTAGGTCGCTGGAAGGACAACGCAAAGATATCATAATTCCACCTAGATCGACTAAAACACATTCCATACCGCGGGATCGTGGACTAGTCAAACTTAAAATCCCTTATCCTTCAAAAATTATGCTTCCTTGCATTAGTTAACTTGAAGGTAACACAAAAAGGCCGTGAATGCCTGCTTTAAACAAACTAATTTCACTCCACACTACGGAAGCATAAAATGTGGGAGCTTCTATGCCATTGTCTATTGGAAATTAAAATCCTAACGTTAGTCCATTGGAAGGCAGCACAAAACTACCTTAAATGACTAAGTATGCTTAAAACTATGATGAACTCAATATCCACAGGAGAGGAGGAATTAGGGTCTACTGAGAATGAGGTCAAGCACGGACCCATTAGGAGGCAAACTGAAACGGCATTAGGCATCTACTTTGATCAGTTCGATAGAATTCCAAATCCACTACACAGAGAAATTTACAAGCGCAAGCAGAAAAAAATCGAGCCTTCTGGAGCAAGTATGTGCGGTATTTACATCCAAGAAAAATCTGCTTTATCTTTGTGAAAGACGAATTCCTCTCTGTGTTACATTTGTTGAGTATGATTGACTTTTTAGTTGAAATGCAAGATTTTAAGTAGGATGAAAGAATTGTAAGAATCTGTTTAAATCCACAAAATAAAAAGGGAAGCGGGACATCAGTTAACTGAGAAAAAGCATTTAACAAGATATTTCTCACTGAGCATGGTTATCGAATTCCACAACAGACATTTCTTGTTAACATTGTATTCACAAGTCTTCTGATTCGACCCGATATGCACAAGTTAGTTTTAGGGGATAAAAGAGACAAGAGAATCATTGGTCATCATGTTGAATTCGCACTCACCGTGGAGTGTAGGCACCAATGGGAATGGCAGCAACATCAATCGGACCATATTTCTCTCCAATGTCTCGGAAGGCCTCACAGTATCCAGTATCACCGCCAAACCAAGCGCGATGCGTTGGTCCGACAAAAGTCCAGCTGCCCCACAGACTCTGGAGTTAAAGTGACAAAAGGTAATCAACTTACTTTAAAAAGATTAATTCTGACTCCCCCAACTCACTCTATCGTTATCGAAAAAGATATTACGGCCCGACCAGTGCTGCGCAGGAGTGTAGATAAGCCGAACCTCACTGTCACTGAGCGTTCTCTCGTCCCACCACACTGCCTCCCAGATACGTGGACGACGCTTTCCCTTTCCACGGTTAATCGTCGAGGCGATTAGATCTGCGCAGCCGGTGGGGATGCACCAAACAGTATCAGGAAAGCATCGACTTAACTTCCTGACAGTTGGAAGGTCCAAGTGGTCAAAATGGTTGTGGGAGATGACCACAGCATGAAGTTGGGGAAGATCTTCAACCTTTCGTGAGGGAGGGGTGAGATCAGGGAAGAAGAAACTTTACCTTACAGGGCATGGGGCGATAGCGTTTGGGTCCGACGACAACGCATCGTGAGCTAAAAATGGGATCGCAGAGGATGTTGACCCCATCCAGGTAAAGGAGGACAGAGGCATGGCCGAGCCAAGTAAGACGCACTCCGCAGTCGGAGTCAAAGTCAGTAAACGGGGGGCCAAAAACGGGCTTGACTACCGGGAGATTTGTGTCCAGCTGCGCGTTGCTGGGCAACGGCCAGACGTCCTCTGAGGGTTTGTTGGTGAGAAGGTAATAAGCTGCTTTCATCCGTTTCTCCCTCCACGAATTCCACGGATTGACGTATTGACCCCTCCAATTCTGCTTTATTGCGATGGCTTTTTCACCAGTGTTCATGACCGATGGCTGATTGGGATGAGTGAATAACGCCTTTGAAGCTGTAAAGTGGTTGGGGAGTTAACCTTCATTTACAAGCCAAAATGGAAGTGTAAGACATCAAGAAAACAGAAGACAATCTAAAGCTACTAGAAAAACATTCCAAGACTATTCACAGGCGCATCAAAATTTTTTGATTCACTTTTTCCTGAAGAACAGACTTGACATTATAATCTGAGGTAAAAAGACGTGAACGCTTAACTTCTGCAAATGCATGATCCATTTAGAATTGCAAAAAAGACAATACTTAGAAATGGAGGACAAATAAACCTACATGGAAATTAAAAGGGCACCTTAAATCTAAGTTTAGAACAACACCAAACAAACCTAAAAAGCGTTAGTAATTTTAATTAAATGCATACTGAATCCGAGTTTTTATAAATTCGCATAAGTGAGAGAAACATCAAATGCCAAGGGAGTCGCTTGAGAACCAACTTATATGGGCACCATTTATCAAGTGAAATTCCGCAACGCAATTGCATGGTGAACACCGGTAAGTAATAGGGACCTGAACAAGGTAGGCAATATTAATAAAAAGGGGGGAAAACACCAATTATGGATAAAACCAAAGAGGCCCAACCAAAAAAGAGGTGGTGAAATTCCTTCAAAATATGTTTGTAATAATATGCTGCAGTGGAGCACGACAGGAAAAAAACCCACTTATACGCAAAATCGACCTTGTAAGTAGATTTGGGTCAATGTGTTAAAAAGCATATCCAAACAAAAAAACAAGGGACTTGTGTCGGTTTAAAAAGGCCTAATACAAAATATGTCTATATGGCAACATATTAAAATCAATATTAAAGTATCCGCTTAGACCCAAAAGTATTTTCGGTTAGCAAATACCAGTAAAAAAGTTACTGATTGATCCCCAACAGAGTATAAATCAGACCGTCTAAAAATTTGAACCTGGATTAAATAGTATTTATAGGCTATGTTTAAAAATTTTTTAAGTAAAATAAATGGTTTAGAAGAAAAACCCTGTTACTAAGAGTGCGCACAAAATGATAGGGAATCTCAATAAAGTATGCCGGTGATAATACCACAGAGCCTCAAGAATTCTTCAAAGACGATGGAAAAAGTAATCGTTGCTAGAAGACAAATTTTAATTGCAGTAGGTTATTGGGCTATAGTGTAGCGTCCTGGGACTCCCTGAAGACGAAAGAAGACCAAATACCCGGGCAAAATATATATTCAGCACAGAGAAGGTGTCTGGACTATTGGCGTGGCCTAAAAGTCCGGCCCACTCGGAGAGGTACAAGGGGGCTAATTCAAAGTACAAAAGTCGCACCTCGCTAATGCCGAGGGATAAACCACTATGGTATTACGATAGACATGACTCGGAGACCACATCATCCGGCGAAGATGCGATGACAGAGGCCCAAAGTGTTGATTTCCAGCATGCAGAAAAACCGCGGGTTTCTAAAATGACCATCTCAAAAACGTCGTCAGTTGAAAGTACGAGCTGCTAAGACTAAATTGAATGTCCAGTTGGCTACACTGTTAAATAAATACTAAACGCCGTAGTATTTCTTTCTCTAGCATATTTTGCTCGTCTTAATAGAATTTCGAGCTAAGATAACTACATTTTTGCTAGTCATGGCAACTTTTAAAGTATGCACAGTATATGCAAATAAAATACAGTCCTACCAATCGTTTTCAACTCTTACCTGGTTTCATTTGTTTCGTTATATTTAGTCATTTTATGCAGCCTACTTTTCCATCCTATGGTTGTCAGCAGTTTATTTGTTGAAACCATGTACCAGTATTACATTTATCATTCTGGGTCACTACTATGTAAACCCAACCCAAATGCACTCTGCAACTTTTTTAACCTGCTTCATGATTAACCGCTTGACACGAACTCCCAACAGCTTAGAAGCCGTGTGCAAACTTTGAGGCTATGCCAAGAAACTTGAATGACGAAGTTGAGAACTTTTTTGCTGTATGTGATGACTATAACATCACTAATGGTCTTTATAGGAAGTTGACGCCATCACGTTTAATGGTGTTAAAGAACAAGATAACGGTAAACTTGTCATCTATTTGTATTGCTCAAGCGCCATTAATCTCTCCACCAGAATCGGTGCACTTTTTCCTTAGTAATAGGTCAGATTTAGAGATATTGTATAACGTTCTTTTATTTAGTTCTCCATGCCTTTGAATAACAGCTGTAATTGCACGTACCATTTGGCGTCTACCAAAATGTCATCATGCTCTTTGCCGACTGAATATTTTAATTACAGCACCGAAGACCAATTGGATCGTCCAAGTCGACTCAAAGTCTAATCTCCCCTTTTACTACAACTTTGTAACCAAAGAAACGACATGGAACATCCCAGATGAGTACCAGTCCTATCTCGACGAATATAAGACCTATCTGCAACACAAGAATGACCAATCAGACCTGAAGAAGGTAGAGGAAAAGGAGGCTCCGATTCTTATACTGCCCGAGGGTAATGCTAGAAAACGTCGTCGCATTAAGCGCGCCTTCATGCGTGCAAATGCAGGAAGGACGAGCCTTCTAGATGCACCTGTGGAATTCCTTTCAGAGTACATCGCCTATAGCAACTCTTCTTCAGAAAATGAGTCCTTAGATTCGAAACGGTCGTCACAGGCAGCCATAGACAACGAACCTATGGAAGTGGTACAGCGTACCCCAGAATTATCGACGGAATTTATCGGTCCTCAATTACCTTTACCACCACCGAAGTGTGAATCCGCACCTGTGAAGTCAGAAGAGCTAAGTAGGCTCCTCTTGGACAAGTTTGCCGCCTTTCATCCAGAATGCGACAAACTCTCGCGTCTTCAGGTTGCATACATCCAATTCACAGTAAGTTTGCACCGACTACTCCACTCGTACTTTTAACTTCTATGAGTACAAAGCACTTGAATCTGAATTTTTAGACGCGTTTCGAGGATTGGAAGGCTGGACATCTCTCAGACGCGCACTTTGAGGAGAAGTTGGAAGAAGCCAGCAATTTTATCTGTGAATACGAACAGCGTGTGCAACATAAAACAGCGAATGAGTGTCCACCCAACAGGCCATGTCCACTTCCAACATATCAAGGCGAACCTGCCATACTTAATCAAGCAGAGGTACTCATTACTTTCGCCACTGCTCTGAAGTCTGTATTCCGATTTTCAGGAAAGCAGGGGAACCACATCCCTCAAAGTGAGTGAAAATAGACCTGAACTTGGCAGCTCAAACTCATCGCAGGGTCCTGAGGTAAAGTGGGACGAAATTCCAGCTCAATTTTCTCATTGTAGACTGATACACAGATGGCACAATGCGATCTGAACTATGATAGCAGTTTATCAGTATATCCACAGGGGATGAAACCAAAACAAGAACTCCAGAAAAAGGTAAAAGTCTCTGCACCTGTACTAATATTTAATTCTATTGTAGGATATAAGTTCGGACGTTACGATGCCGAATATAGATGTACCCAAGTCGACAGAAAAGTGGAGCGATGCGCAAGAAGATTTGTAAATTAGTTGTTTTTTTGATTTTTGCCAAAATTGCATTTTCATACTAAATACTTCAGTTCTTTGTTTTCTGAAGACAGGACTGATTAATGAATAACATTTATGGTATAAATGCTTTAACGAGGCGGACACATTACCTGAGTTAGACTAGAATAGCATCAGTATAATCATTACGACTTGGAATTTTTTGCATCAATGGAGTTCTCAACTCGAGTGAATGATAACATTTAAAAGTAAAATTGGGTAGAAGTAGTACTGTAAATACAAAGTCGAGTTTTATACATAGACAATTGTCGCATACAGCGCCTGCACTTTGAAATCAACCCCAACATAAAACAGTCTCGGTCAGCATACTGAATTAGGTGATCGGGTCCAGTTTTCGATTGAATCCACCACGCCGATTCATGTATTGCCGATACTTTCGTTTCTTCTGTATATTTGCAACATAGACGTTATTGCCTTTCACATGTTTTCCCTTAGTTGAATCAAAACTGAAGAAGCCCAACGTTTTCATCATCTCCATTTCTCCCTCTGTTTGTGGGGCCTTTGCTGTATCGGGTAAAGTAAAACTCACTCGAACTCACTTTCTTTTTCTTCGGCTGCTGCATCGTTTGAGCTATACTTGCGAATAAGTGACTGAATAGTTACGCTTACACATTTTCAATCTGATCTGGAGTTCGTGATCGACTGTCTCTCCACGATTTCCCGCCCTTTGACTCTTTTACGCGGTGCTCATCTGAAAAATGCCCGTGTCTGCGTTCTTTTCTCTTTTCCGGGGTATGGTCCCGCCTATAACGATCACCATCCCGTCTCCGTCTATCTGACTCCCGATCATGCCTTTCTCTGTATCTCTCACGAGAACGCGATCTAGAGCGTCGCCGTCCTTCATATTGATGGCTATTTGATTTACATAAACTTACGGGACAGGGGACTGCGTGAACGATCCCGAGGCATTTCGAGCCAATGAGCACGATGACTCGCGAAAGCAATCCAGCCGCTTTAATTGCCTATGTGCTTAAACACATTTTAAGGGGGACGGCATAGTGAGGATTCCTAGGGGATAGGAATGCAAACCAGCGTTCATACCAATTTAGAGCAAGCAATAGCGTTTAATTACAGAGGAATTCTTGCAATGCTTGCGTTAAGTAATGCATGTCAGAATAAAAAAGGTAGTAATTCTGAAACTGTAGATTTTGCGTGAACGAGTCAAAAAGGCTTTCCTTAAGCTTGCTAAAAATTTTTAAACTTGGCAAATTTTCTGTCTATGTAATCTTTTACGTTTCAGGAGTTCATTATTTTAGTCCTACTCAAGTCTTTATTCATTGTCAGTGTATTAAGCAAACCTTGGCTTGGTTTTCAGATTAAGTCATGCATCTAAAAAACAATTAAACCCTGTAAATGGTTCTGCGTGAAGAGCAGGGGGGAAATGTACTCATGTTTGTTTCTCATAGTGTATAGAATATTCGCCTGAATAAAGGCAAACATTCCGCAGCTGCACACAAATATCGTCTGCGTGCAGCTTTTGTTCGAAGCGTTTGCAATGTTTTATGCTTTTTAGCCTGTCAAATGTACTTGGTGTACTTTACATGTCATTGATTTCAAGTTCTTTTTCGTGGTTTGCACGTTTTAATATACAGCTATACTTTGATGAGATTCTTTTTTCATCGTACTTTTGGACACTAGAGCTAATAATTATTGACAATGTTTACGCCATATGATTACAGTTCGACCTTGAGTTGAAAAACCACATTTTTGGAGTCACGGTTGCAATGTGGCGCTTTTTATCTTCATCACCGTAATCTCATTAAATCGATTTGATGGTTTAGGCCTCCTGAAATTGCTGCTTATGTTCAAAAAGAGATACAGTCCGCCCACGTCGTGTTATTTACAAAAAGCTATTGCCCTTACTGTGTCAAGGCAATTGAAATCTTGCGATCCTATATAGGCAGTTCATTTACATGTAGTGATTTGCGCATCATCGATATTAGAACGCGCGCTGATTGTAGTAAGGTTCAGGATTATTTGGAATCCATTACCGGAGCCAGAACTGTAAGCGTGTCCAGAACCGTATTTTTATTCACCATCATAGGTGCCTAGAATTTTTATAGGAAAACGATGTATCGGCGGGTGCAATGATTTGGAGTATCTTCATAGTATGAAAGCACTTGCTGAACTTTTAGAGCAGAAGTAGATGTCATGGCCTTCGAGCAACGCTGTTCCTTTTGGTACTTCTTGATACATTTATTTTGGAATCTACATAATTTTATGGTTAGAGACATTGTATTCTGTCTTTTGATATGGTAGGAGATGGTTATTTTCTGTTTAGACGGAAACGGGATTTCTTCCAGAATTACTTTACCTAATTGGGAACGCAGATGCATTGATCACTTTCACCTGGTAAATTTACTCGATGCGGGTTTTATCACTAGATTTTACCCTTTGGCCTCCTTCCTTAATTTACCAAAAATTGCGTCAGGTGCTTCAGGTTACGGACCTCGTCAGTAAGAAAAGTTACCATGGTTAGAAGCCAATTACCTTTTAAATCTACTCATCTCTACCCTTAATTTCAACATCTTAGGTCCACCTGATTATTTCGTTTGATGACTGTGATTATTCACTGTTGTCATAAGTAGGGCGTCCTCAATCTTGCTGCACAGTAAACTGATTTAGTGGCTCACGAGGCTGCATACTTCTGTCGACTTGTGGGTGAGTTAGGTTCGGGTTACGCATTCTGTGTCGTGGCGTGCACGGCAATGACCACTTTAATCTCACAGTTTGGTAGAACATCTTTGAATCGGATAAAGTCGATAGACTTGCAGGCTTTAAAAAAAAGCTAGCCCTATCTCAAGTTTTTGTGCCCAACGTCGGGCCGCATTCTAGGTAGACGAAGAGTCGCCAATAGTTTCGCATGATTCGTATTCCGTAATGAAGAGCTCTCTGATGGTGTCCTGCCGCTTAACTTGGAAGCGGTATCATGCTTCTCTTTTGAGGTGGGCCGGCCTACGATGGTTGTCACTTTCAAGAGGTACCTTGTCATAGTTGGCATCTCGTACTTTCCTAGGAAATCTCTAGTTCTTAGTCTGCGGTTGCTTTGAGGATTTAGATGTCCAGTTTTTCGTCCTGAGAAAAGTTAGAATAATGCAATTCTGGCCACTTTCTGATCACCTCTCGCTTGGACGGAGGTCGTGGTCTCAAAACATCTGCACTTATTTGTTAGATGTGAATGTTGGTTGTGCTGTGTGTACGCGCTAAATCTCCTTAACATTTCTCACCTTTTGCCAACACGTGATGCCTCATTCACCCAATTCTAACAATCGCTTAAATTTCCACGATTATGGAGATTGCTGTCAGAAAGTACGAATGTGCACCGACCGAAGTCGCGGTCGTAAGGGCGCAAAACAACTGCCCACATGTACTTTGGGTTCAGGGTCATTTTGGGCAGGGGATAGCACTTCAAATGAAGTGCGTGTGTTCTGTCGTTTTCAAGTAGCCCAATGCGGGCACCACATTCATTGTCAATCTCCCGAGGAATTTGTGTTCCCATTCAAATAATTTGTAGATTCCTGGAAGTCTTAGGGTGGATTTTCAATAACCTAAATATCCACGATCTGTCATTCCACAGAGGGTGGTGCATAAGATCGAGAAGAATATTTAAACAGAAGGCGGGGAAATACCAGTGGGATGAGTGTACCTTATTGTTGATTTATTCCTACCCATGCCAAAATAAGTCCTTGCATCAATCACAACAGTAAGTGATGTTATTTTCTGCTTATCGTTTTCAAACATGTACCTGCAGTGGCAGCTTGGGCTTTCGAATGGAGTTGGCCAATAAAAAAGGCTTGGCTTGAGGTCATCAAAGTTTAGACTTTATCAGGTCTACCGCAAATTTCCCAAATTTAAGGTCGCGCTCCCACTGAGGCATTGAAAATACTAAGGATGCAAAATTGAAAACTTGCCGTGAAACCCTATTTAATCCTTGCGATTATCTTTTTTTCTGCACAAAAACTCGGTTCAGCTTTCGTTGTTATCTTACGTTGGTCTATCGGGTACCCTGGAGTGCTTAACATTATGTTGAGGCACGGAATAACCAGGCTGAGGTGATCAGCATAAGTACTTGACAATTTTGGCACCGCACCTTGCGCTTGAAACGGCCAGAGATAGTTTATTCGGCGAGTCGATTTTCTAGTAAATAGTTCGTTGAATAATGGGGCATATCACAATAAACATTACTCGAAAAATCATCTTGTAAGCTGGTTGTATTAATTTGGCTATTTTATTGCCCATGAGTACCGACGGTCTCGAACAAAGAGAAATACAACACCATTTTTGGTTATTCTTGATGTTCCCAAACTGCTAATTTTAAAAGTATTGAAGTTAATGGTATCCTTCCATACAGATTACACGTGCTTTCTTTTATTTTTGGAGACAAACGAAAATTTCGCTTTCAGTGATGCGTCCTCCATCAAAGAACCACTAAAAGGGCAAAATTCTGCTACTTCGGTCTTTCAAACCACGAAGGAAATGGATTCCTGGCAAGGGCACATGGAAACAGGAAGGTCGCAGCGCATCTCAGTGATGAATTTCTTGGGGAGGGGGGTATTTTTAAACATCGCCTCACTCTCCTCCGTTTAGGAAAAATTCGGCTATTATGTTTATTTCACTCCCTGATTCCATGATGTATTACCGTCTCCAAAATGAAAACCCCAGAGCTCTGGAGGGCTGTTATGCTCTTCAGTTTCTTCTAGATTGTGGGACAGCTCGTGTTGACCTAGCAGAAAATTTATCTCATTCATTACAAATGTACCAATGATAAGTATCCAAGGCTTCAGAGTCCCCATATCAATGACTCGTTATATACTTCTAAAACCACGAACTCCAAAAATATGCAATTTAATTGCCGTTCCATGTCCAAATAAATTTGGTGGATCACACCCTCTTCACCTTTCAAAACAGGCAGATTTTGCGACCTAGCTTGTCCATTTCAAACGAGGTAAATGAAGGGTAAAAGCTGAATTGGACGCTGGGATAGCACCTGGAAATTATCATTCAAAATAGCCAGGAAGTTGGGAATTAGAGTGAATGCTTTATACTCCGGGATGCGCATTTTTATTGCGAAATTATCCTACTTTTTTCTGGTCTTTCCTCGTATTGGTAACTGCACTTGAAGATTGTTTTTGCCTGTGTAGAGGGATCTTAATTCAAAGTACCCTGTCTAAGTAATTTTTGAATGAGTAGAGCCCTAGTGTAGCGTCCCTAGACTTTCCTGAAGATGAATGAAGGCCTAATCCCAGGACACTACATGTATCGCTGACATACAGAATGGCCTGGAACCTACTAGCGTGGTCTGGAGGCCAGTCCGCCTGTCGGAGGTACAATAGTGGAGCCGCTAGGTGATCCACTACCAAAACCGGAAGCTAAACAAACGATTAATGTATTACATTATTGCACCTGGAGTAGGTTTTTAACACATCCGTAAAACGCGTTTACTGGGAAACCGCTTCTAGAATGAGATATTTTGTTCCACCGTGTTCAGTAATTTCCACCTCGGTTTACAAAGTGCTTCAAGTACGATAAACGTGGTAGTGAGGTCTCTCTTCACTCAGATAAAGTAGTTATCCCAATGCTCTGCACGAGTTCTTGCCACTACACTTTGGTTTTTATTTGATCAGAGATTTACATACTTCAACAGCCTTACGAAGGCCAAATAGGAAAAAGGGGAACTAAGAGGAGTCCATGTTAGACACCCACGTCTTCTTGGGCATATGTGCTCTTGCGGTTGAAGTCTGCCGAGCAAAGACAGTGCCGTGTTCGCCTGAGCGAGGCAAAGGGACAAATCACTAACTCGTAGAAGGCACACGCCAACACGGTTCCCAGTGATGGACCAGCAACGTAAATCTAAAAAGGGCAGACTCAATACGAATTCAACACTCGATCACTGCAGCCCGCATGTTGCACTGTCCTTCGGTGACATCAATTTCCATTGCATTTTCACCTATTTTCCTGATCCTCAAAACTAAAGAAATGCAGTTCTCCTCGGACAAAGAATACTCTACCTCAACCTTAGTGTTTCCGACTCAACCAATGTATTCGCGAGGTGCGATTTGAAGAAACCGGTAGTCATCTTAAAGAGATAAAAATCGCATAAATTTGACTCCTCTACCAAAGATAGCATTATTTTCTCATTTAATTTCCTAGGAACTATAATACTGCCATTTCCTCGAAATATTGGCTGCAGTAGTGTTATCAGATGGAATGCATGCTTCCGGGCTAGAAGGTACCTCGTATAAGTTGGGAGATTTGAGCCTAGGATACGATTGTGCCATCTTTAACAGCTACAGAGCACGAGACAAGACCTCGATGAATCAGGAATGTGCTCATTTCAAGAGGTCGAACCAGTAACTTCACACGACTTAGTAAGCTATAGCCGGATTGCCGGAGCAAGTTAGCGAGAGATGTCATTAAAGAAGACTCATATATTCTGCACAAATTCAGGCTCATGATCGAATAAGGAGCGGGCATTTGTGAATACAAAACGTCATTCGTGTTGATCTATGTGGTATTATGCTTTATGACTGCTTTTGTCAATGGAGCTTCTAACTTTCAAGCCCTTCCTTTAGGTTATCTACAAAGCGCTTTCAACAGCAACTGGAAAGCCATAGAAGTCTTGCAATCATGTTCAACCTTTTATGAGCATACGTTTTGTTCATTTCTCGGCGTCATAAAGGTCTTAGAGCCTATTCATGACGTCTACTATGCTCGGGCTAATACAAGACCGAATCACTCACCCATTGCCGGTCGAAGTTATTCTGGATGATCGCAGCAGCTAGACTTCTAGTGGGATTCATACTGGCCCCAGATACAGGCAACTAAGACACGAGAAAGTAAGGAATTAGTGATGATAAGAACCAGAGGAATTTGTTCCAAGTATTTGCCAAAGGCACTTTCAGTTATGCTTGGTTTGCGTGTTCCACTTCATCCGATAAGCGTGGCTTGTGTGAACAGATTCGTCTAAAAACTTTAGTTTGTCCCTTTGGAATATTTTAATAAATTTTGGATAAGTGGTTAGAATATTTCCTAGTACATCAGATAATGTAACTTTTTAGTTTAGCTGCACACACTTTATTTCTCAAAAGAACTGGAAGAAAAATACTTCAACAGGCAGGTCATTTGAACCTAGTTTGTCGACATCGTCGGACTGAGATCTTATCTGCACTAAAACGCTCCTAGTGTTAAATTTGTGGTTTTTATGCAACAACTCAACCTACAAAGACGTGAGCGACGAGAAAAACGTCTATCGTCATGGCAAATTCTAGTACCGAAATACTTGCACGTTATATAATGCGTACTGTTTGTCATTTGGCTGATGTAGCAAATCTGGAGTATATTTCACTTGACGCACGCCGAGTAATCCTAAAAATTTGTGATTTCGTCCAATAATTACAAACGGAAAATGAGGTAAGTTGTATTATAAGGTGGAGTTTACTACCAGAGCCCATGCTCGACTTTTAATCATATCCCAGAGGAACATTTTAGGTATGCCATAAGACAAACAGCAACCCTCCCAACGTTTAAATGACAATTCAGCCTACCACCTACAGAAAATATTTCCATACATTGTATTTTTAGTGCTTTGAGCATAATTAGTGGTAGTATCCATCAGACTAATGATTTGTACAATTCGGAACGGATTGGTTACTATTTATGCTCAAGCCTTACCGTGAGCACCACGTTAATCATGAGGGCCAACATGACAGCTAAGGGGAAGGGGGCTCCTTTCTCCGGTCGCCACTCTCTAGCACGCAACTCATCCAAAGAGGCTAGGATGACTGTGAGAAGGAAGAAGGTGGACACAGTCTCTGTTAAAGTTGCCACGAGAGCGCTCACTCCATTCCCAGGAAGCGTCATCCCGTAGGTGCCTGGCTCCTGGTCCTTGAAGGGCGAGATGGACCACGCGATCCCCATGGCAGTCAGGGTGCCCACGAAATCGCCCACCAAGTAGACGAGAGCAAGGAGTGGTGATATACGACGGGTAAGGACGACCGCCAGGGTGACCATGGGATTGATCTGGGCCCCGCTGGTGGTGAAGGTGCACCAGATGGCTAGGTAAACCGAGGCACCCGCTAGAAAACCCGCCACCATAGTGAGATTGGGTATGGAGACGTCGACGAGGAAACAGAAGAAGTGCGCCAAACCGGAAGCTAGCACTTCGGCAAAGAAGATCTGACAGATCCTCCAAAAGCCTTTGTAGGATGGCTTCTTCATAGATCTGGTGAAAAGGATTCATGGAATCAATGCTTGACTCTTTTCATACCCCAAATTTTATAGGCTACAATGAACTTCATGCTGCTCAAAAAATGAAAAAAGCGGTCATCCTAACACCAAGGCTACTTTAAATGCATGTTGATGACTTAGACTTAGGCAATCTGTTTGCGGCGAAAGATCTTGTGCAACCGCAGTTGGCATAACATATGGAGGAACATAAGCCGCAGGTGTGTGTCTCCTGTGACGAACGCGTTAAGGGATGCATTCGGCAAAAACTCCTAAGTCCTGGCTACGACCTACGTCCTAACCGAAATGGGTAATCAGTTTGTCAAGTTTCAAAATCCTATTTCACATATATGAACAATACGCTTTAATTTGTTCTTTGAACAAAGTATGGGGGTATCGGAATGGCTACAATACCAGAACTAAGCTGGGTGTCATAGATGTAGACGTGAGGGGGGATGTTTAATATCAGGCCATGATACAACCATCTTTGCTGCCGAGTTTGCCATCCCTGAAGCACGTTTGTACCAAAAATGGGTATATATATTTGAGTTTTGTCTATCGATGATCGGTGAAGTAAGGTACAATCAAGGCGATTCAAAAACTTTATCTACAAGAAAACTCTGCATAAACCGAAACCAGTAGTAAATTATTAGTGTCCTAGGCATTGATCTAGCCCCTACCCCTCACACGCAGATCTGTTACTCATGGTGCCCTCCTGTGGATCAACAAGTGCATGTAAATGGAACAGTTTCCAAGCCTCAAACCTATCATATTTTAAAACCAGAAAATAAAAAGTTGTCTTATTTCAAGGTGCTGAATCGAAACCTCTGTCAACTCATTTCGCTGAAACCGAAACACCAAGTTCGACATCTGTAGACTTAAGGCAAGAAATTCTGTGGCCCCTATTAGGGAGTGCATGCTGCTTTCACTAAAGAGCTATCATGCAGTTGGACCATGTGGGTGCAGTTCTACATACTAGTAGGCTTTTTGCGGATCAAAAATATTGCATTGTGATTAGGGATAGTTATGAGCAGAGTCATGGGAAGTGATGAAACACACTCACCGATTGTATTGTCGGATTAATACCTTCCTGAAACCTGACACCGTTAAATACAGTCCCAATTGGCCAATCGGCGCAGAGGCGAGCACTTCATGGCCTGTGCGTTCAACCCGTAGGATTGCAGGCACGGCTAAGACGAGGCGTAAATAGCTTTATTTTTGGTGCAAATCATTTTGTGGCATAAAATTAGTTGCACCTGTGTTTAATTGCTTTGTCAAGTTACAATTAAAAAAAATTGAAGAACCGTGTAAAATCAGTCGGATTCTGTGTTAGCTGGTAGCCTTTGAAAAGCTATCTCACTAACGATTTCGATACGGGCCATAGTTCCTTCACTCGATCCTTACCACGGTTACGAGGAGGGGGGCAAATGAAAGTCGCTGGACTCGGCTTCCGTGCTATCAAGCGTGCTTGGAATCATTCTTGCTGAAAATTTCTGTTTTGGGCAACAATGTAGCGCCACACGACAGTTTAAGACGCCGCCGAGTGACTATTCACTGTTGATTCGAGGATAACATGACCGTCGTAGACAGTGGTATTCATTTAGACCAACTGCAAGGGAGGTAGTCTGCACCGAGGCAACATCTTAAATTAAAAGTTTTATACCTGCTAGAGTACACCCCAAATCTAGAGCGACCTGCAAGGACATAGCTAACATTTGCCTTTTTAAATGTACTAAATATGGAAACAGTTGGAAATTTTATAGCTAGTTTTAATTGCCGAAAATGTGATGAAAATAAATTAACGAACCCTTCTCTCAAGTCTTCGGTTCGACAATCACTGATTATGCATCAAGATCCTCCCCATATCGAGGGGTTCGATAGATCCAACTGAGGGTGCTGCGGGTGCTGTTTTCATTATCTAAAAAGCGCCTTAAGGTTGACCCAACCTTTTACCCCCATCATTGTGATTATAGAATTATGCTAGTGTTGATTTAAATTCGTGCTTAAAAGTGATTTCGGTTTTAGAAAGCCAAGTATACGGAAGATGGGGGTTTACGATGTGGTTATGTTGAAGCTTTGAGTTGGTTTCAAAAGGGTTTCGGACGATCTGTTTCAAGTCTCCGTGCATCACAATAAGTCCATAAAAGTTTGAAATCCGATAGTAACGTTTTTCAACAAAACATCGTACAAATTTTGGAGTTAGCTTCTTACAAAACTGTGTGGTTTTCTCATTTTTTTCCGAATACTTTCCATGTTTCAAACGTTTGCAAGAGTACAGGGTAATAAAAATTAACTTGCACGGATTATTCATGTGGCAGAATAAATTCTGGCCTTGAAAGTTGTCCTTGTTTGCAAAAGGATGTGGTCATGCTACTACACAAAGCAACGATCACATCCATCCATTCTACTAAGATGTAGCAGAAATATACAACATTTTAGGCCCTTACGACCTAAGCTGCTGTGATGTACCTGATTGCACGCAAAACCATCGCATTCAGGGGTTCCGGCTGCTGTTTTATATCCCGTAATACCAACACAATGCGAAGTAATCAGTAGAGAATGGGATGAAAATAACTTTAAAAGATTCCCTAAATTCTTGAGACGTCGTTCCTCCTAGGCACCACTTCAACAGAAACCTTTTTCGCTGTGTGACAGACAGAAGGCAAGTTATGCCCCATTGTAGATGTTGCAGACGTGCACTATCCCCTCGCGGGTAGCCACATGAGGGCAGGATTGACTGTGAAAGACGTGACAAGTCAAAGAGTTAAATAAAATCGCCCAATGCAAAATTAAGCAATTTTTTGACGTCTTTTATGCGCTTCAAAATTTTTGGCAACCCTCCCAAATGCACCTGTACTGTGAAGGATGTTTACTTTAGCATAGGGAAGACTGATGATCAGACCCTTTATCTTGATCTCTCCTTAAACTGTTCAACTAGGGCAAACCTAATGAATTCACTTTTTACATGTTGTGTGTATGTGTATGCAGCTTGACCTTGAGCTGCGCACTTTGCACCCTACCCCCTCGCCCTCAGGCCGTGACCTGAAAATTGAGGGAAATAAACATTTGGCCTGATGGCGAATCAAAACCTTGTTTTCGCTCCCCCTATCCACGCTAACCCGCGTTGGTCACAGTTCCTGCAAATAATGCCTCTTCATTTATTTATGTTAGATGTATTTAAGGCGCCGTAAAATGTTTTGTAATTAGTGGTCGCCTAGTGTTTGGTTCACATTTCATAAATAGTGCGGTGAAAATAACTTTGTAACTCCAACTTGACCAAAAGGGGCCCAATCGTACCATAAAGTAAGGTAGGACGGCATCCGCAAGTGTGGTAGATCCACCTTGACTCTAAGCTGGAAGTAAATGCAACGGCCATAGTTCTGGTGGTACTCGTGGAAGGCGTTCAAAAGACGCCCTCATTATTCATCTCTCCTTTACACATGCTGAGTGATCTGAACGTCATGGCCTACTAATAATTACTTTCAGCTCACTCGCCATTACTTACAAAACTTCACGTAAGAGAGACCGGCAGGATTTCGCATCTCACTTAGACGAAGGGTATTTTGCTTTATCCCTTTGACGTTGAGCGTTACCATGGCAATGGAGAATTTTTGACTCAAATTAGTCTACTTTTACCTCTCCTGTGGAAATACCGAGGGTAAGCATGTAGAGTATGCCGATTTAAAAAGTAAACTGCTCTAAAATAGCATACATTGTTTTGCCGAAATACCGAGCCTGCATCGGATTTCAGTTGTTGAAACAATGTTGAAACATGAATCGAGTTACATTCAGGAATGACAAGAATTTTTGATCTCACTTGATCTTTACAGACCAATTAGCCTACAAAAAGTGTCTTTTTTGGGAATAAGATATGTGAACATATTGAAGGCAAAAGTTTTTGGCATATTTTTGTTGAATAGGTTAGAAATCTCGGGCATTGATGTCCAAAGAAAATTTACGCTCCTCATTGCCACAATAAAGTGCTACTGGTGGCCTGATCTGCCCGTCAACGTAACTGAAGACTCAACTTCATGGCAAAGCACCAACGGGAACAACATAAGTATCAATAATTATGATGACAGTTGAGCAGTGATTAAAAGTGCCAATTTTGATGGCAGACGCAGATGAGCCTAGGGGACCTAAAAGAGCGAAGCCAGCAAAGAAAGACGAACCGCGATGGCATCGCCTCGATAGTCAATCGTCGAGCCGATGGCAACTGGATTCTCTGGAGAAGAGATAGAGGCTTATTTGCCACAGCGAGGGGTAGAGATATCACCAGCCGGTGGTCCCAATTGGTGGACCACCAATGTAAATCTGAAAAGGTCATCCATTACAGCGTGTAGACCCCAGACTCAAGGTCATTGGAGACCAATCACCTGATACTTTTCCCCACCAAATGTCATAATAACTGCATCAGGTGTGGGCATGTCGATCAGGTCCAGTTCAATTTTTGAAGTTAGTCTGACATAAACTCTTTTGCTGTTTGAAATTCACGTTAGTCAGTTGCAGGTTACGATAGTACAAATGCAGCAGACGCAGTGTCTGAAGTAACTACATTTAAAGTACCTGAACGATTGAGAACAAAATCGCAGTTAGATTACACACACTCCTTCAATATATGGTAAGGTTGATGAATCAAATTAACACAGACGCTGCCTTTTAATTACCCCTCAAGTTTTAACTCTAAATAAACCTATTATACACTCTGCGCTCCATACAAATGCACGAGTTTCTGGTCATTAGTCTTACTGGGTTATACTCTTCTGCATCCAGTGGCTTCATGGGTGTGGTAACAGGTTTACTCTCTTATCCATAGTGCATTCAGGGCACTGCTTTATTTACCATTCCAAGTGATAAATGAGAAATGTAATTGACGATATCTTCAGGCTATTAAAAGTGGATGTGTTCCAGTATTTCTTACCTAGGACATTCTTCTTCGCTCCTAGGTTCTCTGTACTGCTCAGATTTCCGTCTTTTGTGTTTGTTATCATCTT